AAGTAATTGAATTATGTTTGCCGAAGTTTTCAACTTATAAATTTAAAACATTAAGTCAGATCTGTTTGTTTTAATTACTTGCTACTAATTGTAGCCATTAATTAAGGTTAGTGCAGAATTTTCCTTTTAGAGTGTGTTGTCAGTAGATTCTTAAATAAATGCAAGATCAAAAACAACATTTTATATTAGAAAACAGTGACATAACAAGCCAAGATGTAGAAGAAAACTGATTTCCACATCAGTTTACATATACTATAGAAGCGCATACAGAAGAGAAGTAACATAGACTCTAAAGATGCGGCAGGATTTTATAATCTACCAAATCTTCATTATTTATTTGACCCATGAAAGGAAACAAATAAAGCATGTAGCTCTGTGAAGCTCCATTTCTCATCTAAAAGTAGAGGTTTTGTTTGAGCCAGACTATACCAACTTTTAACGTTTAACGTTTAATGCCTGTTGGTAAAAGAATCATTTTGAACCTATATCTTTCAGGGGAGGAAGTTGAGGTGATTCGGTGTCCAGATGAACCAGATGCCTCTCGGATGCATTAAAGCAGAGCTGAAGTCAATAAAAAAGTTTTTTGGCAAACATGCTTGGAAAGTCAAGTTGCAAATGAGAGAGGTGCAGCAAACAAGCTACAGTATCCTCTGATCCCCTTTTAGGTATATTAAAGTGGATCCATTTTTGCACTATGATCTTCAGCAATTTTTTTCAAGGTTATTCAAATAAAATAAAAAATCTTTAGTTTATTTAAAGAGCTTTTGCAATTTATTGCAATACATGCAATAACTGTAACTTCTACTTTGTGTATGAAATTATTTTAACATAAAAAAGTAGATTATTTTTTCATGAAAATAATATTCCATTACACAGTAGCAGTTTGTTAAACTGCAAAGGCAGGGGAACTTTTAAGGTACAACACAGAAAAATACGCAGAAATTTGGTGAATTTGGAGAGCATTTTGGCTTAATCCTCCACCTTCGTCTTCCCAACAGACAGCATAGAAAATTAATCTGAAACCTCATGTGCTCAAAGGTGTTTGCAACTGAGACTTTGTTCCTTTCTCACATTGCCTGTGGCACTTGTGAAAACATTCATAATCTCTATGCTCTCATCAACATTAGCATCTGAACTCACCATGATCAGAAAGACAAACCCCTAAAGAACTCACACAAACACTTTCTCATCTTACTATACGCAGTGAGAACCATGTATTGACTCCCAATGACTTGCTTTGTTTTCAACCCTTTCTAAGCTCTAATCCTGTCAGTAATCCTAATCCTAACCATTACCAGTGCATGCCTGATCCTAACCTTAACTGCAAATAAATCCACACCCGAGTCTTGAACCTAAGTGTTGCGAGAATCAAACTGAGGATCAGCAAAATATCACTTTGTTAGAAAGAGTCCTCACTTTGCAAGTGAAATCTGAAAAATAGTCCCTGTGTTGATGCACAAAAATGAACCCACACACACACTCATCCACACAAATATAAATACACCACCAGCCCAAAAAAGGACCATTACATTTCTGAATTCTCAGTACTACCCTCTTTACTATTCTGATAATACAAGAGTCCTTGGCAAGTTTTTCATTTTCAATCTCAGAGCTCAGCACTGGAAATGCCATGAAATAGACCCCCAAGCTCAACCCCTGGTGTGATATGGAATAACCTGCAGAGAACATCAACAGTTGAATTTGAAGTTCAATGGAGCTTTTTAGTACCGCTCTTTTAGGAAAGAGGCATGTCGGTGCAAATGTGCAAGGAAATACTTTCCAGACGTATGCATCTGATTCCAATATGCAAAATAATAAAAAAAATCATGAAAATAATAAAACGAAAAATCCCAGTACAATCACAAACATGTGAAATTGACACACACAAAAAATGGCCACATATGTGGAAATGGACGAGGGAAGGCATGGTAATGGAAGAACATAGAAATCCCACGTGTGCTTAAACCAGACACTAAGAGAGTGTGATTCATACTCTCTTAAGTGTATTACACTTAAATAATACAGCCAAGAGACACACAGGACACAATTATTTCAGCTGGCATGACCTGACAAAATATGTGCAACATGTTCCATTTATCACCTGGATTTAACTAAGATGGTGTAAAAGATCAAAATGAAACTTTTATGTTTTAGCCTTTTAATCACTTCCTGACACACCCTCAATTTGTCTACATGCCACTTTGTAGAGCATAAATTCAACAGTGGAACAAACCTCTAACTAAATTGCATAGTTTTCTAGCAAACAAAAACAGAATACTTGCAAAGGGTAATCCTAAAATCTTTAAATAGACCCTGGAGAATCATAGATATTCCTCAAATATTATCTTTAGAACCAGAATAGTTTTGTTGGTCAGCCAGCATGGATGCCTTAAACAGACCCTTTTCATCCTTGGTTTGGACAGTTTCAGAATTATTTTATTTAAATCTATAAATCATGGTATGTGTGGAAGGATTTTTATGGGAAAGACAAATAATACTGTTTTGGAAAAACAAAATATAATTTGGACAACGCATTTGAACATTTTTAGCCTCACTCTTTACAATTACCATTGTTGAAGGATATTTAGACGAGCACCAAAATTGGCTTTAGCCCAGCTGCCCACAACCTTCTATATTCACCCAAGGTGAGAATTTTAAAGTACCTTGAAATGACTTTCACTGGAAAAATAGGGCATTTTGAAAAAAGGGAACTACTTATTTCTAGTGCGATTAGATGAAATACTTAATTACACAAACTATAATACTTTAACAATAGGAATCTAATTAATAAAAATCATTATTTCATTTTATTTTCAATTCTTGACCAATGTAAGAGTTGATTTTATATGAAAATAGTACTCTGCCAGCAGTCTACAGTACAGGTCAGGTTCAGTAAGTTATTGGATGCCTCCGGCTGTCTTACTCTTTCAAAATAAACATGATGAATAAAGTTTCAGATTAATGTCAAATCAGGAGGTTTATAAAAATTTATAAAATATTATCACAGGTTCTCATGTATAAAGTCAGGTTCTACCACAAGTTGTGAATTTTCCTATAAACCACAGCAGCACAGTCGTCACACAGGAGCAGATTAAAGGTCCAAGTGTTACTGATGATCCAGAAAAAAAACAAACTACAAGTTTTGTGATAAAGCCGCTTAAAGCTGATGTCTGTCAAGGTTTTTTTTTCCCACTTTAACTGCATATTTAACTTATCAACTGCCAGCCTGCTCCCATGTTAAGAATAAGAGTTTGTACAGAATCACAACATAATTCTCCTTCAGCTCATTTTAATTAAATTTAGTGGCATACGGCACTTTAAATGTGCATAGTTAATCAAAATTAGATAAGACTAAATCCTGAATGATACACTTGACAAATTAATTTGTTTCCATCACACTCCTGAATACTCAGACCTTTTTTCACAAATGCATGAGTGATAAATCGTTTTTGTCTGAGATGTAACTTTACATGTGAAATTCATACTTTACATTTTTCCTTGTACAAAGTAACAGAAAGTTTTTTTGTTTTAAAAAAGTTGAATTTATGCAGAAGTACTTTAATTTGAAGAAAAAAAATTAATATTCAAAAAGATCTTAAACAATTAATACGAAAAATGTAGAGACTGCATGATTTATCATAGTAAAAAAAAAATGCTTCTATTTGAGGAAATCTCAATATAGGGCTTTTTTTTCCCCCTTTACATTGGTAACAAAGTCTTAATTTTCAGTGTTTAGCTGGTAAAACCAATTCAACACCAGACATTTTCTGATATAATGTAAATCTAACAATGAAAGCAATCACTTGACTGTGAAAATGATTATGTGCAGGCCATGACACTGCAAATACAAAGTTATTCCTGAATGGATATAATTATTTTAACTAGAATAATAGCTTCGTATTGTGTGTAATGTCATGACGATTTCATGTCTATTAAACATTTTTAAATCTCAAAGTAGGTTGTTTTTATTCATATATAAACTAAAGTTTGGTCAGTTTTTACAACATACCTGTGCAGTCAATCTTAAAGGTATAGTGAATGATTTTAGCAAATTTTTGAAGGTACCTGCCTTCTCCACACATGCACAACCCTGTACCCGCTCTCTAGAGGTAACGCCTATTAAACTTGTGCACGAGCCCATTCTCCTCATGCACGCTCTGTTTAAAAGTTGCTGTTTGCATCGCTCATACAAGCTTAGTTTCCTAAAGGAGATTTGCAATATTTCCACTTTGTAAGACTCAACACCGGTAAGTGAGAATTGGGACGAGCACGTAGGACGGCCAATCACCAGAATGACTGAAAATTAGGAGGACCACTTATTTTTATGATCCACCTGGAAAAAGAACATCCTGCACTATACCTTGTAATATTATCCTGATAGGGGACAAAACAAAGGAATCTGACAGAAGCCATTATAGTTACAACTATTACAAAGCATTTCAAGTTACAGTCCCAAAAATGGGCCATTGACAAAATAAAACACTGAAGTCCCTACATTGTTCAAGGCAGGTTAACACCCCCCAACCCCCTCACCCCCGCTGTTTTTTTCAGCTCTGGGTGATATGTCAGAAACAGGGATGGTCATATCAATTCTCACCCTCAAGTGCTCCTGAGTAGACTGTTTCTGTGTGTGTGCCAGTGCTTATATCTATTTTCTGCGCATGTGCGCTGTGTGTGTTTGTGTTTCTATGGTTTAAGAATAAGCTAAGGATAATAAAAGCCTCATACCATCCATCACCAGATGAAAGGCTTTACAGAGTTTTAAAGGCACGCGTTTGTGTTTTTGTCTGGACTGTGAAGGCCCCTGTTGTGAAAATAGAGAACAGAACAAAAAACACAGACAAAGAAATTGTGGGACTGGTGCTTTGTTCCACTGACAAACACACATAAAAAAAGGATTATTTTGTCAGTTTATCTGCCAACACAAGCCTACATTAAAACAGGGAATACTTTGGGCCTCTTGTGTGGGTGTCAATGTGTGTTGTGAGTCCTCAACTCACCTTTCTTGTCCCCAAAAAAAAGGGTCTGCTGTGCTGGGTTCGACCACTGGAGGGAGGTGTTGTCATTATACTCCACACGGCAGGTAAGGTTTGCTGTTCCACCCTCTGTCACCGTGACATTTTGAACCAAGGGATACTGCCCACTGATACCTGCAAAGTGACAGAATGAGAAGGAGAATATTAAGCTGAGCTGGAAGGAGACAGATGCTGAAGTAGAATGATTTAGACAGATGGCAATTTTTAAAGATGGGGTTTTAAGTTGTGATTAAATCAGATCAGCAAATAAATAAAAATGTTAGAGAAAAGGCATTTTAAAAAATGTACTTGTGGAAAAAACATTCTCCTTAAATGTTTTTTATATATAACTTTTTTCATTACAGCCTCAAATTCCAATGTATTTCATCTCACGTAGACCAACACAGAGTTCACCATAGCTATGAGATAGAATAGAGTGGACATAGGTTTTTTTCAAAGATTTAAAAAACATCTCAAAACATGTAATATGAGGTTGGAAATAACCCACAGGGAGCATTATTTGTGCAATCATCTACTCACAGCTGCTTGTCTCTACTAGTGTTTAACACCCAGAGAGAGAAAGTTTGAATTACTCTTCTATGTAAAATAGCTCAAATTTACTCAAATTAAGTAGACAGCAAGGGTGACCATCCATCCATCCATCCATCCATCCAACCATCCATCCATCCATCCATCCATCCATCCATCCATCCATCCATCCATCCATCCATCCATCCATCCATCCATCCATCCTCCTCCGCTTATCCGGGGTCGGGTCGCAGGGGCAGTAGCTTAAGAAGGCAGGCCCAGACTTCCCTTTCCCCAGCCACTTCTTCTAGCCCCTCAGGAGGAACCCCAAGGCGTTCCCAGGCCTGCCCCCCCCCCGGTGGGACCTGCCCGGAACACCTCACCAGGGAGGCGTCCAGGAGGCATCCTAAACAGATGCGCAAGCCACCTCAACGGGGTCCTCTCGACGTGGAGGAGCAGCGGCTCTACTCCAAGTCCCTCCCGGATGACCAAGCTTCTCACCCTATCTCTAAGGGAGAGCCCAGCCACCCTGCGGAGGAAACCCATTTCCGCCGCTTGAACATCAACCGTGAACATCAACCATTCTCGGATTTTGTTCTTGACTTTGATCTTGGTTTTCCAACACATGGATATACTTTGAATATGTTAATTTTGAATTTTGATCTTCTATTAGACTCAGATTAGTGTGCTCTGCCACTTTTGGTTTACCTATCAATGGGTAGTCCCACGTTTAACCATGTTTATAACAGCGACACCAAACTCATCAGCGATCTTTTGGTTGCTTCTCTGATTAATCCTAATTAGAAGAACTGTCATGTCTTAATTTGTGCCATATTTTTTCAGCTTAGGTGATATACTAAACAGCACGTCATGAGATGTTTAGTTGAATCCACTTTAAAATTTGCCACTGACCAGTCTGTTGTGTTTTCTGATCCTCCTGGTTCTATTTATCTTTTAGTAAATTTACTTGAAAACCTTTAAAGAACAGCTGTATCTATAATGAGACTAAAGCTGGGCATTTAAGTGCTTTAAGAAGGAGTTGGATCATTGATTGAGTGTTAGCGGGAATTAAACTGAATACATGTAGACATGGAATGTCAGACTAATGTTTACTAAATGCCAATAACGGTGTTTATTCTTATTTTCCACATCACAATTACGTCCCACTTTGAGTTGGTCTATCACATTAGATGCACTGAAGTTGGTTTCTGTAATGTCAAAAATGTAAACAAAAGATCAGTAAATATAAAAACCCCATTGACTTTGAGATCCTCACCTGTAAAATGACCGTAAAAACAGGACATTTGGTCTATATTAGCCTGATTGGGTTTTCAAAATAAGACAAATAAATAATTAAAGGCTTAAGACCCTAATTACAAAGCAAATGCTCAGGGAGGCCGGTCAGTGATTATGGTGTACTAAATTAGACCCAAATGTTGAACACACAGGGGGTGTTTAGGCAGAAGTATTGAAACCTTAGCTACAGCTAAAAGGACCAATTAAAAAGCTTGTTCTCAGTGGACTTGGCTGGACGATGACGTGTTTTCATGCTTGGATCCAGTGAGTGAAAAGCTGCTGGTGAGCCGAATTATACATTTCATCCATGACCTTGAAGCTGAACTGAGTTTGTTTTCAGCACTATAGACAAGGCGCTGTTGTGACTGGCTGTCAAGAGTTACCCTCTAGTTGTCAGGACCCTGGACAGCTCACAGAGTTGCCTGAGTCTTTGTACTTTGGTTCCCGAATGCATGTGCGAATGTGAGAAAGGGTGGGGGACAAGTGAAAGGTAATAACCATAAATCTATCTACAGTATGGTATCATCCCTAGAGGAATGATTTTAAGATCGAGGTGAATAAAGGTTTTTAGGAAAGAAAGCCGAACTGATTCACACATTGAAAAGAAACCTTGCTAGAGGAAGAAAAATAATGTCCAAAAAAAAGCACGTTTCAGCTGATAATGAATTTCCCTGTTAGTATCAACGAGTTTCATCTGTAATTTATTGCACAGGTGAGATAAACTAACCCTCAAACTGTGTTTGCCTTCTGAGCTAGCAGGTGAGGCAAACCCTATCATTGAGGAAGCTGCGGGGGAGGATGAGCCGAAAGGAGAGACGAGCTGAAGGAAAGGAGAGAGAGGGAGAGGTAAGTCAAGGAGCATGGGTCATTTCCAGTGTTGATTAAGGCCTCCTGAGGTTAATCATGCGTGAGAGAGATATAGAGCGAAGAAGAGAAAAATGGAGGAAAAATGGATCTGAGCTATTGGAGGCTAGGAACATGTTTTATTCATGGAGGTTTCGAATGAAGCATGATCTATCGATGATTTAGAATACTTCTCTGACTGCCTTTGCTTTCTTTTATTACTTTTTCTCTTTAAATCAGTTACTTTTTTCAATTTCTTATTTATTGAACGTCAAAACATATAGCCTGGTGTGATGGGTTTTATCTGTTTTATGTCAGCAAAAAGAGAAGTTAACAGTAAACCTGTGTACTAAATGGCAGCATTAATAAAATTTGTTTCATTGTGGAGCTCAGAACACTAATCAATATGAAGTGTTTATCAGATACAATTACCTTTCTCCTCTGTGCTCCACTTTCAATTGCCTGGGAACACCCTAAAGAGAACCACCCCTGTTTAAAAGGTGGGGCAAATTACATGGCAACTAAATAAGTAGGGGTGGACATGCATTAACACTTTAATGAAAAGACTAAAGCCTGTTTTTTTTATTGACATGTCTGCTTAGTCCACGTGGTCCGCTAAGCCTATTCGCACCATTTGAGTGTCAGTGTGAATTTCTGCACTGCACACCTAAGAAATTCCAACTATGAAAACAGTTGCAGTCTATGTTAATCTTTATAGATATTTTACAATTGCTCTTACTCACACTGCAAAATATTTTTCTTTTTGTATTGTAAAAACTAGAACAGAAAGAGTCAGTGTAGAGAGCAAGCTGCTTTCTTTATGCTGATATTTGTTTGCACAGTTGTGCAGTCATATTTAAGTAAAACTGTGATGTGTTCAATTTTATGTCACTTGCTATCATCATTAAATGAAATGGAATAATTTGGCTTATAACCTTATTGCCTTGTAGCTTCCATTCTATTTTATAAACATGTAGTAATAGGTTTATGTCCAGTGTTTTTGTCACATAATAATTTGGCTTTTTACCCTATAGTTGTTTGAGGGTCACTGGATTAACCCATAGGTCTACCATTGCTAAAATTGTAGCTTCTGTTTGCATATAATTCAATGAACTAAAGTCGGTTGGTTCTCTGGTGGTAATGTGGCTGTGATTATGGTTCTTAAGAAACTAAAACCTGCTTTACACTCACTACATTTCATATCCTCTTTGTCATTTTAGAGGTCTGGAGAAGTTCACTTAAATGTAATAGATGGTAAAATATTCAGCCGTGTAAAAAAAAACTTTTGAGATAATGGTTGTACGTCTGTTGCAGGGATACCAGGCAGTGTGGATCAGAGCAGTTTCTGGTTTGCTAAAAGATTGTTGTACCAACCTGACAAGGTTTAATTTTATAATTAGTTAGAAATGAGAACAAATTGCTTTTCCAAATCTTCTTTCAGTAGCTGCACTAACCAGAAGCCACCTGTTGGCCTGTGGGTGTAAATTTATTTACCTCTAATTAGTTCATTAAAAATGTCAGCAGTGAAGGGCTTGGAGTTTAGATAACAAATTAGAATAACAGTACAGTTCTTCTAATGTGAGAAATCTAAATAAATGTATGAAATAAAGAAAATCTTTTACTTTACTACATAAGAAGCCTATAGTTATTTTTTATTCTTTTTCTTGCTGCTTAAAAAGTAAAAAAGTAAAGTGATCCCTTGGTTTATGCTTGTTTCTTTCTACTGCTACACATCCGGAGGGACTAAGGGGGCCAAAGGGGCCACAATGATGGTTATATTAGAGCTTCACAGTGTTCAGTGCACCTAATTGGCCAATGGAATAGGTTATTCTATTCTCCCTATGGCCACCCAGACCTGATTTAAATGTATCTCCTGAGGGAAGAAGGCAGCTATTCTCTCCTGATTTCAATGTCTAAATTTAGGTTCTCTTCTCACTTCAACTGCACTCTTTCTCCTACTTTAAGTTTGCTGCCTTGACTTTTCCAGTTCATATCCATTCAAGTCAGTTTCCTTCTCTCTTATTCCTCTCACTTGCTGTCACGTTCCCTCCACTGGTTGATCCCTGAAGGGTGGCATTTCCACTTTCTTTGTCGCTCATTTTCATATTCTCTCTGTCTCTTGGTGCTCCCCTGTCTTTCAAGTTTATCTTGATCATTCCTCCTTTATTTTGCTGAATGGGGCTCTATCTCATGCCAAGAGTGGGGTCAGTTTAATTGCCCTCCAACTTGACTGACAAGCCAAGGCTAAGCCGGGTCAACAATACTCTCATCTGCATGCCATTAGAAAGTAATAATATCACAAATTAGCTTTGGTTTATTTGGCTGAGTAGAATATAGTTAAAAATGGTGAAAAGCTTCCAGACTTTTATTGGTTGGAGTTACAACCGCTAGCTCATGCTGGTTGTTTAGAGGAGGTATATTGTAGATAGAACAGATATATTCACATTCGGACACCAACTAGGTTTTGG